GCAGGTTTGGTGTTTCCTTTCTGTTTTTCAAATGGACAGTATAGTCAAATTGACTTTTTTTTTTCTTAAATTCTGAGAAAAAACATTTCATCAGCAACATTATCTGACATGAGAATATTTCCGAAATAACTTTTCCTGTTACACTTTCAATATGGCTCCTTTTAAAGATTTCTTACACTTCCCAAATGTTTCTTAAATAGAATATGGTTTTGGATATGTCATCAAAAGAGACCAGTCCTTGGAAAAAGACCTCATGCTTGGTGAAATAGAGGATAGCAGAAATGAGGACGACCCTTGACAAGATGGGCTGACACAGCAGCTGCAGCAGTCGGCTCAAACATAATAGTTGTGAGGATGGTGCAGGCCCGGGCTGTGTTGGTTGGAACCAACTTGACAAAAACACGGTCTTGGAGGACTTCAGCAAGACAGCAAACTAGGCAGACACAATATACAAACTTTCTATAACAGACACAAGAGACCTACTGAAACAGACACGGGCGATAATAAATACCAACTGGAAGAAGAAGCTGAACAGACGTAGCCAGAGAAGAAACTTACACTGCTGCCATGAGTCAACCCCAACTCATAGGGTTTCCAAGGCTACAAATCTTTATGGGAGCAGACAGCCACTCCCATAGAGTGGTTAGTGGATTTGAACTGGCAACCTTGTGGTTAGGAGTTCAACCACGTGGTCTCAAGAGCAGACAGGTAAACTGTCAGCTAGCCCTATCTTGATGCGGCCTTCTTGAACTTTTCCAAACAGCTTTCAATTAAGACAGCTGCCTGGTACACGGTGGCTACCAACTAGAAAGGTAGGATATATCTTTTCAAGCCCTTCTGTTACCTGCCCAGCATTTGGGTAACATCCACATAACCTGGGTTCTCCACCCCCTATGAAGCGCCTGGATTGGGTTCTGATTGTACCATTCCTGTGTCCGAAGGTGGGTGAACTCCCTCATCAAACCTGCAGAACCCATGCTGGGTCCCTGGCTACCCCAGTAGAGGCAGGGACCTCCTACCACAGCCCTACCCCCTGCTGTCCTCT